CAGTTTCTATACCTCAGTTTCCCTACCTATAAAAGGAAGGAAACATCCTGTGCTACTATGGCAGAGACTGGTGGGGCCTACAAATATCCAAATTCTGCCTTCTGCATTCACAGCTTGGAGACACCTTCCAGTCGCCCTTGTGGTTTAGTGAGACCGTGAGGTCGAATGAGCAGAAATGATGTGCACCTCTTCAAGGTCTTAGCCATAACATCTTCCCCATCGTTCTTACTCTTTGCTGTGAACTCCCAGGACTTAAAGGATGGAGCCATAAGGCTGAAGGAACTGAATTTCCTGGATGACTGTGGGGAGCAAAACCTCCCCATCGATTTATACTGATTTACTAAACTATGATGTGAGCAAAAAATAAAATTTCATTTTGGAGCTCTTTATTGGAGCAGTTAGGGTGCCCTAATTAATACACTCACCACCTACCACATAAAGTTGCTACACAGATTATATGAAACTATATGAAAGTAATGTATAAACTGTATACAGATTGCCTCAGGGTGTTATTTAGAAATAATATACAGTATCTCTTGGTATTGAGCTTATGGGTTTGCTCAATATGCTGTCATGGCAAAACAACAAAAAAAGGTTACAGTCAGTGGAGTTTATTGTCATTTCCCCATTGCCCCTTCTGTGACTCTCTTTCCCCTTCATCCCTGCCTCAAGCATCCATGCCCTCCTAACCTCCAAGTTGAATGACCCAAGCAGCACTCCTTCAGACCTAGCGGCCATCCCACTTCAAAACAAAATTGACTTTGACAACCTAATTTTCTTTTGTTGTAACTCCTTGAAGGGAAGGATGCCATTTTCACCTGGAGGTCTAAAAGTGCCTTGCACATGGTAGGTACTCAATTAGTACATGTTAATTGGATGGAACAGATGTAACTATCCACCTTCCTAAGGGGCCAGGGTATCTCTCCCAAGGAAAACATCTGAATAAAGGCCTATGGAAATATAATACATTACTCAAAGAAGGAGCATCTTTTGGAAGAGAAAATTTAGAAGCCAAACCAGGCCAACAGGTGAGAAATGGCTGGTTAGACAGGCTATTCAGCACCTTCAAATAATGCAAGAAAGGCAACTGTCTATTGCAGCTACAGAGAAAATGAGCTCTTCCCAGAGAATCCCTGAAAGATGCAGACTTCTCAGTGTACAACTTGTGCTAGGAGGCAGACCCTTTGTAGGGAGAAGCAGCTGTCCAAGGTTATAGAATGTGCTGGGGAGGGCGTCAGAATGAAGCCCAGATTTCCTGTCTCCTGGAGGCTCAGACCTCTTAGCCTCATTGCTGGCCTCTCCATAACCAAGAGATTTGATAAATTTTCCAACCCTATTCTAGCATCTTGTATTTAATTACAGAACGAAGACAAGCACTCTAAATAGGTTGATGCTTTTATCTATTCAAGAATGCAAATATTTACTCAACAACAGCACCCTAAAATCTATTACATACTTAGCTATAAATATAAGAGAATATGGGCAAGATCTATAGGTTGAAAACTAAAAACATTAAAGAAAGAAACCAAAGATCTAAATAAATTGGGAAATATACCACGCCTAGGAATTGGAAAAATCAATAATGTTAAGATGTCAATTCTCTCTAAAGTGGTCTATAAATTCAATGCAATGCCAGTCAAAATCCCAGGAGAACTCTTTTTGAGAAATCAACAAGCTGATTTTTAAAATTTCTATGGAAAGGCAAAGAAAATAGAATAGACAAAACCATTTTGAAAGACAAACAAAACTGGAGGGCTTACATTACCTGATTTCAAGACTTACACAAAGCTATAGTCATCCAGATAGAATAGTATGGCAAAAGGATAGACATACATGTCGATGGAATAGAGTCCAGAGGTAGACTGACATATATGGCCAATTAATTTCCAACAGAGGTACAAAAACAACTTGATGGAGAACGGATAATTATTTTAACAAATTCCACTGGAACAACTGGACATCCACAAGCAAAAAAAGTAAACCTTGACCATACCTAATACCATATACACAAATTAATTCAAAATGGATTCTTGATCTAAATATAAAACCTACAACCATAAAATTTCTAGAAAAAAATCAGAAGAAAATCTTTCTGATATTGGGTAAAGCAAAATATTTTGGAAACAACACCAAAGGTATAATCCATAAAAGATCAGGTATTATAAAAGGAAGATTCGATCAATTTGACCACCAAAATTAGAAATGTCTGCTCTTTAGAGGACATTGTTAAGAGAGTGAAAATACAAGCCACAGACTAAGAGGAATGTTTTCAAATCATGTATCTGATAAAGTAGTTGTATTCAGAATATATAAAAAACTCAAAACTCATCAATAAAAAAATCTCAATTTAAAATGAGCAAAAGATTTGTGCAGATGCTTTACCAAAAAAAGAAACACAATAGTAAATGTGCTCAAATTCATTTGTCATTAGGGAAGTACAAATTAAAACCACAATTAGACATCACTCTATACATATTAGAATGGCTTTTTTAAAAAAACTGTTCCGCAGTTTCTTATAAAATTAAACATACCATATTTACCATATGATTCAGCAATCTCATTCTTAGGTATTTACCTGAGAGAAATGAAAATATGTTCACATAAAAGCTTCTATGCAACTATTTAGGGTTGGGTGCAGTGACTCGCATTTGTAATCCCAGCACTTGGGAGGCTGAGGCAGGCGGATCACCTGAGGTCAGGAGTTCGAGACCAGCCTGACCAAAATGGTGTCACCTCCCCATCTCTACTAAAAATACAACAATTATCCTGCGGTGGTGGTGGGCCCCTGTAATCCCAGCCACTCAGGAGACTTAGGCAGGATAATTTCTTGAACCTGGGAGGTGGAGGTTGCAATGAGCCAAGACTGTGCCAGTGCACTCCAACCTGGGTGACAGAGTAAAACTCCGTCTCCAAAAAAAAAAAAAAAAAAAAAAGAGCCTTCCACAAAACAGACTACTACTCAGTGATAAAAAGGAAAGAACTGATATACATACAACATGAATGTATCACAAAGGAATTCTGCCAAGCAAAAGAAGCTGGACTCAACAGGCTGCTCACTGTCTGATAAATCTATGTGCTGTCCTGGAAAGGGCAAAACTATAGGGACAGGAAACAAATCACTGGTTGCCAGGGGTTAGGATTGGAGGGTTGGGGAAATGGGTTAACAGAAATGAGCATAAGGGAATTTTGGCGATGGTGATATAACTACATATATTTGTCAAAACCTATAGAAATTTACATTAAAAATTGTGAATCTTACTGTATGTAAATTATGCTTCAATAGATCTAAAAGCAATATATTAAAACTAAAAATATAAATGAACATACATGAAAAGATTAAAAGCAAATATTTATGGAGCACTTACTACCTGGCAGTTCCACTGCCATGAACTGCTCTAATGAGAAAAATGTAGAATAATTATTATAATTTATTTTAAAATAATGCAAGAGTTTTCTTGAGCAAGGTTGTATAATGGAGGTTTATGAATTCTTCCCTCAGGTTGCCTAACACATGGTATAAATAATGATATGACAAGATAGAGGTGTGCAGGTGTCAAGAGAAAAGCATAAGTAAGTACCACAGAATTTCAGAGGCAGAGAGAATACTTTAGCTAGAGAAATTGAAGAAGCCTTTGGGAGAGATGGCGTCTAAGTTGGGTGATGAAAAAAGGGAATGATGATCTTTACTGCCTATGTAAACAATGTCTATCAGGAAGTTAACTCCGGCAATTTCTCTTTGATTCTCCTATGACCCTCTGAGACAGGTGGGAAAGGTACTATTAATTTCACTTTCAGTTAAACAAACTAAGACTTACAGATCAAGTTCCTTGCTCGGCAGAGCCAATGCTTGAACTCAGGTCTTCTGAGAGTTTGTTATGCTCTGCTCCATGATGTACCCATTCAGAAGAAAAGCTCTTTTCAGAAGATGGGGAATGACTGCTAATGGTCCGATTCCACCTTGGGATCCCTCCAAGTGAATCAGCTACTTCTCACCTTTCTCCTGGCCATTGAGAATACCCCACAAGGCTAACATCCTTATTTGAGCCTTTTCTGCTTATGAAAGCAAAAGCCGGGCAGGGCGCAGGGGCTCACGCCGTAATCCCAGCACTTTAGGAGGCCGAGGCAGGTGGATCACCTGAGGTCAGGAGTTCAAGACCAGCCTGGCTTTCATGGTGAAATCTGTCTCTACCAAAAATACGAAAATTAGCCAGGCATGGTGGTACACACCTGTGGTCCCAGCTACTTGGGAGGCTGAGGCAAGAGAATCACTTGAACCTGGGAGGCAGAGGTTGCAGTGAGCTGAGATCGTGTCACTGTACTCCAGCCTGAATGACAGTGAGACTCTGTCTCAAAAAAAAAAAAAAAAAAAAGCAAAAGCCAAGAGAGTAAAGACATTTTGTGACATTTGTTTAGATTCATGGTTTAAAGGTCTCAAAGCATCTTTTATAAATGTTAAAAAAGCAAAAGTCTTGAAAGTTACAAGGACTGCCACAAATGCATGGTCATATACGTAACCCTGAAATCATGTAAGATGCAACCTCGGAATTTGTGGAGTGAATTATTAAAGCTACACTCATTCTGCAGTGGGCCAGTTCCCAAAAAGAACTGTGAGGCTATTCTAAGAAGCCTCCTGCTACCTGAAGAGCACCTATTCACATACCTCACCTAGCTGAGCTGTGACCCACAGAGCCCTTTCTTCACCATCTCTTCACATATGACACACACTTAACTGAGCTCCTTACTTCTGGAGTCTGTCGACATGATCAACATGTCAGGCTAACAGAAGTGAGATCAGCAATAGAGCACAGCCCTTCTCTAGGGAGGATACCACGGTACAGAGAGATGTATAGGGCCTGTACAACTTGCTGCTATTGCCATACAAGACAGTATCATTATCAACATCAATTTAATTAACCAAATATCTCCTGAAGGGATGCTGTATCTGTGTTCCTTATCCTCAAGGAGCTTACAGTCAGGAAGGTAATTTAAACATTCCTTACCGGCATAGCTGGAAAAACTGCTTTTCTCTGTGCTCCAGTTTTCTCACCCAGTTAATAGGAAGTAAATTTCTCCAGCTATGAATGTAATGGGGTTTACAAAATCCCATTACACTGACTCCTCAGTACAACCCTGAGTGCAAGCCACCCTCCTTATCCCCATTTTATAGGTCAGGAAACTGAGGCTTAGAGGGTTCAGTGACTTGCCCTAGAACATCAGCCTGTAAATGACGGATCCAGGATTCAAACGCAGGCAGTCTGGGTCAGAGCCCTTGCCCTTAGCTCCTGTGATCACTGCCTTGTCAACCCAGCCTGACCCAAGCCCTCTGCAGGGAGGAATGTGGAGATCAAAGGAGTGGGGAGGTTATAAACAGTTTTTAAATCATCTGAGATGAATTCTTCCACATCCAGCACAACACCCGGCAACAAGAGCATCAAGAAAGGCAACAGGAAAGAAAGATGATCTGCACTAGAGACCCAGGAGGCTCTTTAGGGTCACAGCTAAACCATGCCCTGAGATTTCAAAACACGGAACGCACTGGGTCTCTAGCCTGTGTCAGATCCACATTTCTTGTGAGGATCACCAAGCACTTTCCCCGCCAAAATCGACACAGACATAGAGGAGATAGGAAAGCATTGTGAGTAACGTTCCCAGGACAGACCAGTGGCAGAGTCAAAAGGGAAACGTCTACATCCAATTCTCCCAGCTGCCCTCTGAAGCCCCACTTCTCTCTTTTTTTTTTTTTAGGGTCTTTCTTTAACACAGCACACGTTTACCTATTTGCAGAAGGGAAACTCCAGCATGTGGAATTAGAAGAGGGTTTCTTGCAGAAGGTGTCACAGTTAGATAACACTCTCCTCCTGTCTGTTAAAGAGCGTGGCAAATGTTATCATCTGGAAGTACCCGGGACAAGAGCACCCCCAGTTCTGGGCACTGTAATTGGGCTACTCAGAAGTTCCACTGAACGGCATGTCAGTGTCTTACCCACGGTTGTGCTAAGCTGCTTGCGAAGGAACTGCCACCACATTCCTCTCTTAGAATGGCCTGATTCCAAACAGCTTGCCTGGAGCAAGGGGCAGGACGGCTGCCAAGTGCCTGCCGTTCCTAGGAAGGCGTGTGTGCGGGGCCACGGTGGTGGACACATAAACCAGCATAGGTCATTTGAAAGGTGCCGAGAAGTGACTGGTCATTGCTAAAATAGTCTGCAAGCAACTCTAAAACGTTGGCCCCACCTCATTTCCTAGTACATAGTACCAATACTCCTCCATTCAGCAAGGGTTGGAGCCAGTTCCCAGAAAGAACCAGAGGGTAGCAGGCAGGGGATTTCATGCCAGAAATAGTACACTAAGGTGACTTCAGTCTGGGGAAATGAACCAGGCAGTGCGGCAAAGTGGTTAGGTACATCTGGAGTTAGAATGCCTGGGGATGTCTCTGGGCTTAGCCATTTGGTAGCTGGGAGGCCTTAGGCCATTTACTTAAAGTCTGTAAGCCTCTATTTCTTCGTCTATAAAATGGAGTTAATAATAGTCATCACCTCACAGCACTGCTGTTTGGATCAAATGAGATAATGTATTTAAAGTCCTTAATAGAATGTCAGGCATGGAGTACATGCTCTGAAACTGTGTGGTCTACAAACATTGCTCTAAGGCTGCTGTTGTTCCCACAGCCCCCAAAAATAAATTGTTAGCCCCCCTTGTGCCTCAGTTTCTCCAGGTATAAAACAGCAACTACAACCCTCTCTGCTTGTGGCATTTAAAAATGGGGACATATAAGCTTGGATGCAGTGGCTTCTGTCTGTAATACCAACATTTTGGGAGGCCAAGGCAGGAGTACCACTTGAACCCAGGAGTTTGAGACCAGCCTGGACAACATAGAGAGACCCGGTCTCTATAAAAAATAAAAAAATAGCCAGGCATGGTGGCACATGCCTATAGTCCCAGCTGCTTGAGAGGCTGAGGTGGGAGGATCACTTGAGCCTGGGGTTGAGGCTGCAGTGAGCTGTGATCATACCACTGCACTCCAGCCTTGGTGATAGAATAAGACCCTAACTCAATAAAAAGGGAGGGTAGGGGAGACATATAGAAGTAGACATGTTTTGTCATCAGACACAGTTTACATGGGTACTGGCCATCTTGCCCTTTTTGGGCATCTGTGTAGATTCTGTAAATACTGGATGACAGATTGATGAAAACAAAAAGCATATATTTTGTGCTTTTCAAGGTTTTTACAGGACCAGGAGAAGACATGAAGAGGCAACCACATCTCTACTGTGCTGCCTGAGACACAGTGACAGAAGAGAAGCTCAGGGCAGGATGCAGAGCGGTTACACAGTCACTACTCAAGCTCTGTCAGTAGGCCATGCGCCTACTGTAATCCCAGCACTCTGGGAGGCCAAGGCGGACCAACTACCTGAGGTCAGGTGTTCGTGACCAGTGGGGCCAACATGGTGAAAGCCTGTCTCTACTAAAAATACAAAAAAATTAGCCAGCTATGGTGGAGCATGCCTGTTATCCCAGCTACTTGGGAGGCTGAGGCAGGGGAATTGCTTGAACTGGGGAGATGAAGGTTGCAGTGAGCCAAGATTGTGCCACTGCACTCCAGCGACAGAGCGAGACTCTGTCTCAAACAAAAAAAAAAGGATCTGTCATGTTGTTGCCCCCTCCTTTCCCTCCAAAAAAGGGGAAAAGATATTTTTACTTCAATGAGGGAAAAAAATAACCCTGAGCCAATATTTGAATGTTTGCCACCATTCTTCACATAAGCAAAGCAGTAAACTCTTTCCTCTCTCATTTCCACTTGGTCACAGCCCTGTCGCAGCTCCCTTGCTTCCATCACAACCCTTAGTCTCTGGTGCTAGGAACAAAGGCGAGTGTGACATTTTGTCAAGAGCTAGGACAGGCTTCAGACTTGCTCCAGCAGCTGCCTTCTTTGGATAAAGGCCATCAGCTGTCAAACCAACCTGAGGAGCAGGGCTGGGAGAGAAGAGTGGGTATGCACAGATGGAATGCTGCCTGCCCACCTCAGCAGCACCCCTCACCAGGCTCAGTCGGCAGGCTTAGAGCATAGCAATTGTCACCGCCTGCTCTGAGCATTAGCCCACGCGCCTTCCCCTGAACCATTCTGTGTTCAATGCAGAATTTACCCATTCTCCTGACCGGACTCTCTAACACCATCACCACCACCAGCCTCCCATCCCAGCACAGAGCTGTGCGTTAGCCAGGACCCTTCAGACAGGACCATTGTTAAACTGGGATCATTCCTTTCAGTCACCCTAATGTGTTTTGTTAAACTGTTTTTAATTATAAAAGTGACATATGTCAGGTCTCTAGCAAATCCTAACAGAAAATGCTGCAGTTGAGATCCAACAAGAATGGACCTACCCATCCTCAAAATGGTACATCCAGGCTGGGTGGAGAATCCTCATGAAGAATGTGATGGCCATGGTCTCCAAGAGTGCTTAGCAGGAGTCATGGAGAAAAAAACAACGATGAGCTAGAAAGCCCAGCCTGTCTTTATTATTACAGTTACCCCTGACTGCCAGCAAATGCACGTCCTCGGTTGTGAGTTATCCACGTATATGTGAAGGGACCAGTCTTTATTATTATAGTTGCTGACTGCCAGCAAATGCATGTCTTCAGTTGTGAATTATCCTCGTATATGGGAAGGGACCAGGTCTCAACACACGATAGGAATTTATATCTCCAACAACAGACATTTGTAGAATACCATCACCCCCAACAACAAGGACAACCATGTTTAGTGAGTAGCTAGAACATGTGAGGAACCCTGCTAAGCGCCTGACATACATACCTCCTTCCATTATCAGTCCTCTCCTATGAGTGATTCTCACTTTCTCCATTTTATAAATGAAAACATTGAAGCTCACAGAAGTTATGTTACTTGCCAAAGTCACATGACTGTAAGAATCAAAGGGTGAAATGTGGCCTACACCTGCCTGACGCTGGTCTGACAGCAGAACTTTAGGATTAACTGTCTCTAATGATAAATTTCAACTTGTTAATAACAGTCCAGCAATTCACATTAATATTTAGCAGGGCTTTAATTGAAAAGTAACATGAAGAAGAGGCTATGACTTCCCATAAACACCTCTCTTTGTAAGTCAGATTCACTATTCTCCCCAACTCCCTATCCCATTTCTACTAAAAATTGCCCAACATTTCCAAAATACATACAAATCACATTCCAGGGATTTCACCTGATCTCGGTGTTTGGAAAGATGTCTGCCTCCCATTCCCTTTGTGACCACAGCATGAAACTTTGGAGATGGAGAGGAAGATGATCTTCCGAAAACCTCTGAGCATTTCATGTCATTAACCTGACCAGAAATAAGACCCAGAGTCCCAAGTTTTTGAACTGTTGCTCTCACTATGTACAATACTCCCTTGTTAAAGAGACAGACGGACATGAAAAACAAGCAAACCACTGAGAAATGAAAGATCCAATGTAATCCATAACCAAACCTGAGTAGGCCAGCTATACAGAATCAGCTCCTCCTATCCTCACTATCTGGGCATGGCAGAACTAGCCTGTCCCCGTCATTATCTCTCTTGTGCCCTACACAGTTTGCTACACCCACTGCATGTGGATATCCTTATCAGAAAATAGCCACTTAGCAAGTTTTTTTCCTTTGAACAGAAGTAGCTGCTTAGCCCGCCAAAAGATTAATAGTTCTGTGTATGCCCATTGGTATAAATATTACAAACACAGATGTAAAGCTCATGAATACAGAACAGATACTGGCTGTGTAGCACAAGTGGCTGTGTGTCTTTGGAAACTATAAGTCTATTTATAACTTATAGTCTTAGCTCTTTGACGAAAAGACCTGCCAGTCTCCTCATCCCCATCAATTAGTGAAAGAGAACCAAACTGGAGTAGGGGTGATGAATTCATCTCACAAATATCTTCTAAGCACTGGGTTGAAGTCTCAAACTTAAAGTTTTACCAAACTATAGGACTCTAGAAATAAAAAGCAAAAGGTTGTGACACTAGTGTTAGGAGACAGCAGGATCACTCAACGTACAGCGCTGCCAAGCTGTACCAGCCTTTGACAATAGGAAAGGATCGTGTCAGGGATCAGAAGTTTCCCTGTGTTTCCTCAACTTTGTGAAATGAGCTCTGCCATGGGCTCATCTACTCTCTTCATTATTGAGTCAAATTATTTTCAACTCTTTTTAAAATTTTATCATTTTAATTTTTAATGTGTGTCAGTTATTTATTAAATACATTCCATGGTCAGGCATTTCGGGTCAATACCGATTTTCCAAAAAAAAAAAAAAAAAAAACCCACTCTACATTTTATGCATAAAGTAGGTAGACTGTGGAGTTCAGATGAAATTTGTAATGACTTCGAGGTCCTTAAAAGATTGAAAACCACCAGTGTGAACCACTGTTGCAACCGCAGCCTAATGCACCCAGTGAAACACTAGATGCTACGTTCCTGTATCACCCCTGTGATCAGGATGAAAGCAGAGAACTGCTACTCCTGACTTGTAGTGAGTAACTTGATTATAATGCATCAGGATGACTGGAATTCCCTTCTCTCTACACAGAGAAGCCCGATCTCAACAACAGAAGAAAGACTACACGGTAATTAAAAACCCTGCCCCAGAAGGGGAGTGGATTCATTCACCTTAAACCCTCTGAAAGAGTCAGAAAACATCAGGAGGAGTGGGAGGGGCGGGGAGATTGTAAAGACCCCAAAGCTGGATTATATATTATATAGGCTGCACGTAAAGGCTAACAGAGCCTTACACTTTGCAGAACGTGCTCAGCCAAAGAGGCCAAGACAGCACACAGCTGCAGAAAGCCTACACAGATACAGAGAGAGAGCAGCCAGGCTCCCGAAAGGGCAGCAGAATGCATAGGTCATCAGTATCTGTACCTGGGTGACAGCACAAGGTGGATAAATGTATGCACCTGTGTTGTGGCAGCTGATTAATTCAATTAATATTTATTGAGCACCTGCAGGACTCATGGCAGCATACTGTGAGCAAAGACAGTGTCTCCTGCCTTCAAAGAACTCATGATCTCATTATAGTAAGACAATGAGTTACTGGTCATTGGGTGATGACATAACTGAGTATATTCAGGTACTGTCTGGACCATATACACTAATGGCTTGTTTAAATTGGGTCTAAATATATGTCAGAAAGGACCTTTGTCCCACTGATCCTTTGCATTCTTGGAGCTAACAGCAGAAGTCAACTGAACGATCAGATTCCAATCTGCTCTACAGTTTAGCTGTTAAGGTGAGAGAGAACATCAGGAGCTCCTTCCACAGCCTCAGAGCAGAGGAGCAGTTCATGTGAGGAGGGAAGGCACTCACCAGCAACACCACATCAAGCTTGAGAGTGGTCCACAGCCAGCCCACTAAGCTATCAGGAGCCAGTTACCCACCCTGAGTGTGTCCATCATCATGTTTCTCAACAGTCATAAAAGCCCTCGTCTATGTGTGGCACCACCTCAGGTGTGGTTTCTCCAGTTGTTCACCGGCTTAGAAGCCTCAAGCCCAGTCAGTTCTTGGTCCAGGACCTAATCTTCAAAGTCTCAGAAAATTAAAACAGAATTTCACTAGGAAACGGTGACCCCAAAGGCCAGTGAAGAGAGCCCAACTTGGCTACAATTTTCTTTCCTAAAACATATCAAAGGCCAAAATCCTGGCCATGTGAGAACACATGCTCCATCCTCATGAAGAAGAATGGGCAGAACAAATCAGCTGACAGCCCTCTTCTAAGTGGCATATTATGTCTCAGGCTAAGAGGATCCTGATGCGGGCATCTAGGGGAGAATTTTCCAACCTGTGTCCAGTGGGAGTTGGGGGAAGAGTAGGTGACTGGGAAATGCCTATTTATCTATCCTTCAGGTACCTTCCCAGGTTGGTGCTAGCTCCTTTCAGGCCACATTGGCTTTACAGAATGTCAACTCAGAAGAAGAAATCCAGGGAGCAACCACCACACTCCTAAGCCAGAACAGCAAGCAGGACTCCAGAAAGTCTGAGATGAGAGCACTGACTACCATGAGACACCAGCCAGCTGGTGGGAAATGCTGACCTGTTATATTCCCTTCCTTTTCCAGCCAGATTCTAAATAAACCACTTGAAACTCATTGCAGAGTTCATGCCTAACACAGCATGCCACCCTTTGCTGTTGTGTCAGCCAGCACAGACCAGCTCTCAGGATGCATGCCTTATTTCCTCGATGCTCCATGGGCCCCCGCCGCAAACCCCCTCCAGGGTAAGACAAAGGGAGGCACTACATACCTCTGCTTCCTCCACCATCCATGGCCGGGTGATCACATGCATCCATACTTCACCTGTGAATGCCTTCATCCTTCTCATCTGTATCCTCATATTTATACTGATCAATCATATAAAGCTGCTCTTCAATGTCTCCTGAGAATAGAGGAGTCCATGGCCCACTTTGATCATCTCTTCTAGCAACTCACCATCATCACATTTAGAAGTTTTATATTTTGCTTTCATTCATTCCCTGCCATTTAAACCTACTTTTTAAGAAACACCACCGCATGATGTTTTCCCCCATTTTACCTTTTACAACGGTAGAAATCTGGTTAGAGGCATACACTTAGAGAAGACACTCCCACTCTTCTTGCTTTCTAGTTTCATAATCCAAATCTCTTTTGCTTTTTATTGTGGAGCCCATTTTTTAAAATCACATTAATTTTCTTTGCTCTCATTAACACTCACTCCAAATTCCCTCATTTGTCTCTAATAGGAGTTCACAAATGAGACTCGGGTCTGTGTAGAGAGCTGGCCAGATGTTCTGAGAGGATGACCTCATCGTTTCCCTCCTTTTGATGGTACCATTTTCAATATTGCTATTATGTCACTTAGTCATTTTCAGCTCATGGTTGAGATAAGTAGTTGGTATGGGCTACAATAAACCTTCTCTGATATTCAATGTTCATCAATGTTGTTAATTATTGTGCATATTACATTGCTAAATTACAAAACTGCAAGATAGCTCCACAAGTTAACTAGTTTATCACTCATTCACCCACTAACACACAGAGAATCCAATATAACTTTTACTTTATTTACTACTTTGCAATTTATGCTCCATCAAGGTAGCTTTTGGTTTAATTATAGCTTATAGGGGAATTCCAACACTTTCAAAAATGCATTATGAGAAAAATGGAAAGATAAATAAGGGCTAGTTGTTTAATAGTCACATAATACTCTTGACTTATGTAATCATGTTTATATTAATAAAAATTACTGACTTTTAATGAGCACCTACTATGTGCATGTCCTATGCTAAGCATTGGGGAGGATACACTCCCTACACTCACAGAGCTTCCTTCCAGTCTAAGTTCAGAGACATCATATGGATCATAATCCCTTATCTGCAACAATTCTGAAATTCCAAAAGCTCTGAAAGGTTTTTTAAATAATTCATTTGGCAGTAAAATATGCTCTGAATAGGTTAAGTAGGTTAAGTTACAGCCTTTATTTATCCTTTGTGTAAATATTCATAAGTTTTGCTGCAAAAATAATAGCATGTTTGATTATGGGATGCTATCCCAAACATTGTATAATGTTTCCAAATCTAAAACATTTTGAATTTGAAAACACATATCCTCAACTGGCTTCAAATAAGGAACCATGGACCTGAAAATGACATGAAAAGGGAAACAACACAAGCCAAAGTTTCCCCACTGACTGGGTAGGGGCCTAGGTGAAAGGTGGGTTAGCCTGTTACTCTATTAGTTCTGAACACTGTGTCTAAAAAACTGTAGGTAGCAAATGTGTCACAGCAATGTTTAAATTAACCTAGTCCGTTTGAAAAAGAATAGGGACAACGGCAACAATATAATTGGATATTCTGGCCCCGTTTTACTAAAACTTGGACGCTTGATCCTAACTCAACTCAGACAAAACAGTATTTGCGCATCTCCTCTTTTAGAGCAGAATTTTACATTTCACCTCCTGAATAGGATCTTCCTCATTTCAGGTCATTTCTCCAACTCCAATGACAGGGATTCCCATCTCACTCACTGAGAGGAGGGCCATTCCTAGTATGAAGTCACTCTCAGTGTAAAGTAAGGACATTTTTTGTTTTAATCTGCCAAAAGTCACCTTTGTTATCATCGTAATCAGGAGGCTGTAAGAGGGGCTATGTGGCTACTAACACTCTACTCACCTTAAACAATAGCAAGGAGTGCCTGAGCACTCTCGTCTGTAGACCACTGGTCTAGAGTATTAACCGATCTACGTCACATGGGCTGTACTCTTCAAAGACAAAGTTCAACATATCCTAGGGTCTTTGGAACACTCATGCCACATGTGGCAGAGCCTGAAGCTGCAGGATTATTACTCTAGACCAGGAGAGGTCAAAGGATAGCCCCCAGTATGTTTTGCACGGCTACAATCCACATTTTTAAGGACTGTAAAACAAACTAGAATATGTGACAGAGACCACCAGATGCAGCCACAAAGCTGATAATAGTCACTGCCCAGCCCTTTATAGACAAAGCTTACTGACTCCTCCTTTCTGCCTGCGAAGAGGACAAAAAGAACTGGCTTTGAATGCCTACTAAGCATCAGATGCCTCACTCGGCACATCACCACTGCAACACAGGACCGGGGACATCAGGTGTGTGAATGAGTGACTTCCAAAACAGTGGCAGGATAAGGGCCTCCCCAGAGCCTGTCCATACCCACCTGTGGATGGCTTCTTTAGAATCCCACCATGGGACTCTCCAGAAGGATTTCAGAACCACTGTAGTTGATTCAACCTCAGACTTGTTTTTTTAAAAAACTCACTTTTTCTGATAGTTCCTTTCTTCCCATTACATCCATACAGACCTATTGGCCAACATCCTCAAGTTTCCATCTCCTCACCAGGGGCCCCTCACAAACCCTGGCTTCTTTCAGAGTCCAGACCTGTGCTGTCATCATGGCCTGGGCTAAGGCATGAGTCCCCTACCTCCCTGTCCCCCCAGCAACGAAGAGTTCAATTCTTGGAAGAAGTGAAATAAGTAGAATGCCAACACTTCCTATTTCCTTTGCATGATTTGTGTTGTCATTGTGAAAATCGTGCAGTAAGTGGTGTGATTTATGGTGACTCCAGCCTTCCTTTCTTTGTGATCTCCTTTCCCAACGATCCTACAATTCTTCCTGCTCTCTATTCCCCTTCCTTTTCATTCTGTCAAACTCTGTTCTTCTGAAGTACCAGTCATAGCCAGAGTTTGATGTGCTCCCATTCTTATTCAACAGGGTGACAATTGAAGGACCAGCTCATTATATGCGGTCTTTGAGGCATTAGAGAAATAGAAGGACTAAGTTGGCCCGAATCCAAGTCTTCTTTTTGTCTACCTACATGTCACATTCTTCATGCACCTGACACAACTTCACAGGTAACAGCCCAGATTACATAGAAATGTCCAGAAAGACCCACTGTTTGCCCTGTTAGCCACTTTTAGATTCTTTTTACTTTCCAAGGACAGAGAACACTACAGACCCAGTGAGCAATGCAAAGAAAAAAACAGTTGCATAGTTTTAAAACGTTCGTGTATGTTATTTCTGCTAGTGGAGATGGAGTACAAAGATTAAGAGGCAGGGCTATGAGCAGACTGCCTGGGTTGAAATTCCAGCTCTGCCGCTTACTGGCTGTGTAATCTTGGACAAAACAGCCTCTCTGTGCCTTGGTTTCTTCATCTATAAAACAAGGATACTAACATTATCTACGTTATGGAATTGTGAATATTAAGGATTTCCTATATGGAAAACACCCAGAACAATGTCTGGCACCTAGAAAGAGTTAGTATCAGTAGTAGTCGTCGTAGTAATAGTAGTAGTAGCAGCGTATGTTTGTCCCTCAATCTTATTATTTGGGCTTATTCACTCTTTCCCTTAAAAGGGAACCTGAACCTTAAAAGGGAAAGAGTGAATGAGCTGTGTGCCAGGCCCTTTGCTAGGCATGAGGGTTACGAAGATGATATAAACCTGCTGGATAAAGAAAATGTGGTACATATACACCATGGAATACTGTGCAGCCATAAAAAGGAATGAGATTATGTCCCTTGCAGGGACATAGATGGAGCTGGAAGCCATTATCCTCAGCAAACTAACACAGGAACAGAAAACCAAACACTGTGTATTAGTACTGTTAAGTAGGAGCTGAACAATGAGAATATATGGACACAAGGAGGGAAATAACAAACTCTAGGGCCTGTTGTGGGTGTTGGCGGGAGGGAGAGCTTCAGGAAAAATAGTTAATGCATGCTGGACTTAATATCTAGGTGATGGGTTGATTGATACATGCAGCAAATCACCAGGGCACGTGTTTACCTATGTAACAAACCTATACATCCTGCACATGTACCCCAGAACTTAAAATACAAATATAAAAGAGTCCCCCAGTAGCTTGCAGTTGAGTATTTGAAAAGCTGTAAAAACAGGCTAGGTGAGAACAAGGAAAGGGAAGTACCTATGGGTTCTACGGGAGCAGAGTAGACACCCAGAACGCCTTCTGCAAGGGTCGAAGATGAGTGGGGATCAGAGCTGAGCCTTTAGGAGAAACAGGAGCTATTCAGGCACACTTGGGGATGATGGAGAAGTGGAGGCAGACACCACAGGCAAGTAAGAGGAAGGCATATGTGGAAGCATGGAAGGATGGAGGAAACAGCCTGGAGTTCTCGGGAAACTGCTGCCAGCTCGGAGAGGGGCGAGAGATAAGGCTGGGGCCGGACAAGGGGAACCTCAGCAGTGAGGAGTCAGTGAAAAGTGCTAAATGGAACAGTATGGCTAAGCTTGCCTTCTAGAAAGTTCCCTTTGGCAGGTGTATGGAGGGATGAATTCAAAGGGGAAGGGACAAGATTACAGGCACTGAAATGATTAGGATGCCACTGCAGTAATTGAGACAGGAGATGGTGTGGGCAAGACCCAGGACTTCGGTGAGGAGCGATCAGGTTACAAAACTATTTAAGACACTGGTAGGTGACTGAAAATAACAAGTGACAGAAAGGGAAGAGCCAAGAATGATTTCTCAAGTGGATGATGGGCCTATCAACCAAGGTAGTGATTACAAGACAAGGAGGAAGTTTAGTAGGGATAAAGGATGAGTTCAATGGGTCAAAAATACATAGCAAGCCCTTACCCTGTGCTAGCCATAATGTTAGGTGTTGTGACGCAATAATGAAGCAAAATAGACAGGCTTTCTGCTCTCATGGTGCTTTCAGTCTAGCAAGGAGACGAACAGCCAGTGAATTGTTGCAAATAATTATAATTTACACATTGCAGAATGCTGCAGAAGAGATGTATAGGTACTAGGCAAGTATTAACAGAGAGGTTTCCACTAGCCTGGGGGATGTGGGGAGGCTTCCCTGAGGAAGTGGCCTTTAGATGGATACCTATGGGACAAATAAGAGACAGGCAAAGAATGGGGAAAGAGCACGTGTAAGGCCAGCAGTAGGAGTCCTGGACATCCCATGGGATGCCTGGGTGGAAATGCTTAACCTGAGGCTGGGTACTCAAGTCCTGAACCTGTGGAAATGAATGGCTGGAAGCCAGAGAGATTTAGAGTCATCAGCAGCAAATAGGTGGTATCAGGAACACAAAAAGTAGCCAAGATTGTCCCCAAAGAGGGTTTATGCTGTCAGAATGGGAGCTGAGGGTGAACCCTGGAGAACCCCTTCCTCAGGATATGCCCAGGAAGTCATCGAAGAAAGCAAGTTAGGAAATAACTGTATCAGGAATCCTTGGGGGATGAAATTTCCGGAAGTAAGGAACAAACAACAGTGTCCCATATCCCAGAGAGCCTCAGTTATTCACATCTGGTGACCACAGGGAGAAAAGTTTCAGTAGAGCATGGGGACAAGAACCCATGGCAGCAGGAAGTGGAATAAATCAGAGTACAACGAGTGTAGCCCATTCCTTCAAAACGTTTGATGGGAGAGGGTGTAGGGCTTTGAGGGTGAGCAGACAGGCATACAGGGCCAAGGGACAGTTTTGTTCGGTGGGAAAAACCTAAACTTGTCTATAGGCAAGAGTGAAATAGCAAGAGAGAGGGAAGGATTGAAGATTCAGATGTTCTGTGCCAGGCCCTGAAGTGTTTGGGAACATTTCTTGTGTCTACTGGCCTAGGATCTCACACATAGCAGGAGCTTAGTAAATTTAACACTCATCATTGGTATGACTCAAGAGACATTAAACATTTTTTAAAAATACTTATCACTGGGCAAAAACAGTCAATAGTTTTCTGGACTCTTGATTGGAGAGAGCTCTCTCTCCACTAGATGGTCCAACTCTGGACTCCCTATATTAGTTCTGTCTCAGCTGGTCGTGTAGGATTTCCATTTGCTGAGCAAAACTGGCCCAGAAAACCACATGGGTGGGGGAAAGCTCCTTGGATTACACCCCATTCCATCCTCCAGGATGCCGGCAGGCCAAGGCCTCCAAGGCCTTGCCCTTCATTGAGGGGAAAACTGAGAAACTTGGTATTATTTCCTGGTGAACAAAATTGTAGTGCTACCTCACCCCAGAAACTCTCCTACAAATGAGTTCTCTGTGCACAGAGAGGCTGGCTGCGAAGGGCGGCTGATGCCCCTCTGATGGGCCAGGCTCCATGATCACCCCTTTCAGGAAGTGGCGCCTGAATGAGATCATCCTGGGGCCCTTGCCCTTAATTTACGGCAACTCACCAGAAAGCAAGTGCCTTTCACAACTACTCTGTTGTCAAATGACAGCAGAGACACCTGGAATCATTTAGCTCCCTAGAAGAGAAGGGTGCCCAATGCGCCGCTCACCAGGCCTCCCAACCAGGGAGGAGGGAAAGATAAAACAAAAAGCAGCAAAGCTTAGAAAAGCAAAACTAGACAGAAAGAGAAGGAGACACAGTGAACAAGGTGTCCATGGGAAGAAAAAATGTCTAGTAAGAACTATTCCTCTCACCACAGGATGAATCAGCAGAGGATACCAGCCTAGAGATCCTGACCCATTCCTAGAGGAGAATGCACTCTAAACACTATTATAAACGAAATAGGAAAATGACACTCGAAGAAGTTATTCTTTACAGCTTGGGGAAATGAAAAAAGAGAGATCATATTAGAAAAAATATTTCCATCACAAGACACCAAATACACATCATCTCGTGTGTTCTAACACAACATAATTTTTTTATTATTATTTTAAAATCTTTTCATAAGACAGGGTCTTGCTTGCTACACTGACCAGGCTGGTCTTGAACCCCTAGGCTCAAGCAAACCTCCTATCTTGGCCTCCTGAAAAACACAACATAATTGCCTGAGAGAAATGTGGATCTTCTTCTTAAGTGGCTTCCAGATTTGGATTTTCCACTCAGCTCCTCTTGCTCCTATTGGAACCAGAAAATCCATGAAAAATAAATATACAACAGAGAAAGAAACAAGAAGGCTGGAGCCAGAGCACCTGAGAGCACCAGGAAGGGAGGCGCTCCAGGCATGTGGTCTGCTCCTTCTCCAGATTGCCTTAGAAGAGCCTCTCTCGATCCTCCATCCCTTCCCGTAGGGCTGGAGCAGGAGGCTGGCATCACGGCACCAGGCACCCTGGTAAGACACCTGCTCAGTGCCACTGAGAGGCTCGCAGGGCTGGGCTGCAGGGCAGAGCTGCGGAAGCACTGGCTGAAGCCCAGGCTCCGGCCCGAGGAGTGAGGCCTGGCAGATGGCAAGGACACACACAGCCCAGCTGGCCCCAGGCCTCCTTGCCTGGTTCAGGGGAGGGAAGAAACGGGAGGAAAAGACATTAAGAAAAAATGGAGGTTTCAGAAAAGAAAGCAACACGCTAATGCTGGGTTCTGTAGCTCCTGCTGGCTTAAGCAGACAAAGCACAGTAAGGCCCAGAAGGCTGTCTCTCCAGGAATCTCACTTCAGTTTTACAAGGCAGCTCACTTCCTGAGAAAGGAGCTTCCCAACACTCCTGATAAAGGCCAAGAGTCCTTCCTGAACCTCCCTCACCAGGACTCTTCACAGCTGCCACCCAAGAGGGAGCATCCAGCTGTGGGGAGAGAGGAACCCACGGCCAAGTTCCTTTTCTTCAGTGAGACTATCCTACTTCTCAGCACAGCTGACCTGCCCCTAGCCATCAGCAGCATGCCCCTAAGAGGCTTAGACAAGTTCAGCAAGGAAGAAAGAGTTTCAAGGTTTAGAAGGGAAAATTCAGTCCTATCCATAACTTTGGGATGCTCTGAGTAAGTCGTTTCTCTTCCTCACCAAGCCTTCTTCCATATGAAAAGGAAGAGATGATACTACCCAACCTGCCCCAAATGGATTAGCCAGACAAACTTTGCAAATCAAATGCCTTGTTCACTAATGCCTCCCAAGCAGAACGTGCCCTCCCTGGGGCAATGAAAGGTTCCCAAGGTTTATAGAGCTCAGAACCCCTCAAGGGAGAAAGGTGGGAGTTCTCAAGAACTTGTTTCCTGATAGGTTTCAGAGGAGGGCAACGCAGCCCCAAGTGTGGGAGAGCTGCTGTTAGAGGGGAAGGATGGCTCCAGAGAAAACCCAAGTGGCAGCCGCTGCTGACACGCTGTGGGACCCTGGACAAGTCCACTGCCTCTGTGGGAAGGGAACAAAGTTCTTAGTTTTCCTCTGAGACTCAAAGAAATTTGAGTCTATGCTTTAGTTTTCTTAACATGCGTTCATATGGTCCTGTGAAACCCTTTGAGGGATTAGCACCAGAAACCAGTGAAGAAAGACTGGACTCTAAACCAAGTAACCCCAGAATGCTGAGTATGAAACCCCAAAATGCAGCATGTAACCGTGGTACACAGATTTGATAGTGAGGGTACCAGAGAGCCATTGCCATATTAATCTATTGCAAACCCTCAAATGAACTACTCAAATCTTGGCTTAGAAGGTCTTTAGTGCCTATCTGTGGCAATAATGAAACCACAAAGAGCATCGTCCAACACAACTGCTGGATCTAGGAGAGAAAAAACAATCCCAGGCCGGACA